CCAGATCATATGCCAGAAGATATGCCAGATAGAATGTCAAATAGAATGTCAGAAGATATGTCAGATAGAATGCCAGAAGATTTGCCAGTAAGAAAATGTATAAATGTCATGGTGGGGATCACACGAAGTAAAGTATTTTTTTTCAGGAAACCATGCTTTTAATCACAGAATTATAGGGGGTTCGAGTAAATTTTCCCTGAACCATTGAAACATGGTTGGTGATTTGGAACATGACTTTTATTTTTCCATATCTTTGGAATGTCATCATCCCAACTGACGAAGTCACATTTTTCAGAGGGGTAGGTGGCCCCCACCAACCAGATATTTATATAATTATTTATATATAGATTATATTAAGCATATATTAACCATATTATATTCACCATATATTTACCATATATTGGGTTGACTGCATTCTTTAGGATGCCTGACTCCACCAGCCATTGTTGGACCTCCCATGGCTCGGTCGATCCAGGTGGCGCAGCCTCCTCCGGCCAGCAGCGTTCCTAAAAAGGCCCATCTGCAGCTGAAAAAAACATGCGAAATCACCATAAAATCACCATGAAACACCATGAAATCCCATGAAACACCATGAAACACCATGAAATCCCATGAAACCCCAGTAAATCACCATAAATAGATGTTCTATGGGATTTTGCTGGGAAAAAATCGATGATTTATGATGATTTTTAATGGGATTTCCCGTGGGGATTTCCATGGTGATGAAGGCTGGGTGATTCGGTGCTTCTCAAAGTTCAGGTACCCGGGATTCACAACTTGATGTAGAGGTTTCCGAAGTCATGGGGGTAGCCCTAAATCACCCAGTCATGACCATGACGCCTCGTAAACCTGATGGTGGGATTCCCGTGACAGGATTTTTCTCAGATTTTTCTGATTCTGTTGATCCAGCCAAAAAATCATCATGACTCCTGCTGGATTGGGATGACATGTCCATCACGTGGTTTTTGTTATACCATTCGGGCTGATACTTCAAAAAACATCGTAAGTAGTACTACTAAGGGGCATGATCCCAAGATATATGATTATATATGGCTAAATCCCATTGAACCACCATCACCATGAAATCATCATAAAATCCCATGAAATCCCATTAAACCCCATTAAATCCCAGTACATCACCATAAAATCATCATAAAATCCCATGAAATCCCATTAAACCCCATTAAATCCCAGTAAATCACCATAAAATCACCATGAAATCCCATGAAATCACCAGTAAATCCCAGTAAATCACCATGAAATCACCATAAAATCACCATTCCATCCACTGTCCGCGCAAGCGGTCCGGCGAGGTGCTTCCGAGCTTCACCTTGGAAGAGCTGCAAACGATGCCCATCAGCCACCGTGCTGCAGAAGGGCGATGAAGGGCCAATGGCTAGCCATAGTTTGTTTTTTTAACCCCAAAAAAGGTGGTACCCTCTGGTAAACTAACATAGCTATTGAAAATGACCATTTATGGTGGATTTACCCATTAAAAATTGTGATTTTCCAGAGTTACGTTAGTTTACCAGAGGGTAAAGTATGTAAAAGATTGTAAAAGATTAATTGGGAGACCATATTTTTTATGTAATCCCAGCTTTGTAATACAATTTATACCATTTACCAATGGTTTTTTTTGCATAGTTGAAAGTTGAAAGATCCCATGGATTGGAGATCTCAACATCCTGCACTACCAAGGTACGAATGGGGTAACCATTTCACTTCATGGCTACACACTGTGGATGACATGATACTTACTAAGTATGTTATATACATACATACATACATACATACATACATATATATATATATATCATATGTAGCATGAGACATGCACGAATCTGCTTAAATCGTGATTTGACCAGTTTTGAACTACATATGGTGCTTGCAAGACTTTGCTCACTACCTGGGATGATCCATCCCAGTTGAAGATTTCCCTGGTGTTGGAAAACAATGCCATGTTTACCATCCCTAATGACTTACCATAAATGTATGGGTGGTCCAAATAAACCATTCCCAGTCATGGGTGGTTTATGACAGTGTTTTACCCCCATTAGTGATTTTTGTTGCTGTGCGCCATCAGAGATCAAAATGCGCTGAGGCAAGCTGAAGAATCATTGCTTGCAGTATGGCAGGTGACCGCTTTCCGCATGTGCAGTGTGGTGCTTCTGAAAAGTGGACAGATGATCGTCAACTAATGTGGTACTCGAAGCTGGTAATTAATGCGGTAAATCCACTATTCCACGCTAAACATATGTAAACCCTAAATGGATCTAAATGGTAAAATCCCAAGTTGAGTGGGAAGACGGCCTTCAAGACAGCAGTGGAATACCACATGGAAACTAACGAATCTTGAGGCTGGAACCTAAAATCAGACATGATCCAGATGATCCAACAACTAATTACAGGAACTATTACACAGGTATGTCAAGTAATTATTTCTGAAAGATTGAGACAAGCACTGGAATTGTGTGAGTTTCTTGATGGATGTCGTCCAGTCACCAACGTTCGACACAACTGGCCACCAGCTGGACTTTGATAGCTAAATTGCTACAGATAAAAGGACACATAGATAGCACCTAGCCTGTATGTTGAATCTGCTTTTGATGGGTCATACATCATGTCAGGCTGCACACATACCCTTGCCCTTTCTCTTTGCCTTCCTCCTAGGGGGCTTCGGGCCACTTCCAAACCATGACCAATTATACTAATCTGATCCTGAAAGCATTTCAAGACATCTTCAAACAAGTGTTCTTAAGACAAATACATCCTGCAGAACATCTTTTTAAAGAACATCCTTATCTTCAGGATTCCTCCAGGTGCTTTTTTCAGGATCTTTAAAAAACCAGTTCTCAACTGCTTTCTGATGACAATCCTTAGATATCAAAATCCCATGGCCATATGGGGATCTTTGGGGATCTGAATACAGATAGCCGGGGGAACCATCTTCTAACAAATGGGGATGAGTTTATGGTGGATTTAATGGTTAACAATGGTGAATAATGGGGATGATAATGGGATATACCCAACCTGGTTATGACATTCACAGTTTGCCATGGTTTTAAGCCATGGCCCATTTATCGAAGTAGATGATGGTCCCATTCACACTAATATTAAAACCTCGTTTTTTTTATTTTGGGGGATTTTCCATGGCTATCTTAAATCCTAAATAACCAGATGGTAGGTATCCTCTACAAGTATAATTAATTCCTTAGATGCATTATTACGTGCATATTTGATCATATTTACCTATGCATGTTGAAGGGTAAAACTTGACTGGTGTCTCAATTTTACTAATATGGGAATCACCAATTTCCAATGGGTATATCATTTATCAACAGATATGTATATCATCATGGCTATGCGCAGCTTAACATGTACATCATCTATAAGAACAACATTTTTTTACTGCTGTGAGATATAAAATTTGGGAATCACATTTAATGGTCATTTTAGGAACCTAAATTGGAGGTACCTACCATTTATAAGGCCTATTTTGTTAGGCCTAAATTTCAGGGAATATCCCCAGAAAATATGGCCAAACATATGGTACAGTACCTCCATCAATTGGATCCTGAAGATCTCCCATTGAAATGGGCCTTTATAGTGATTTAATGGGCCTTTATAAAGGGAAAATGGCTTCATTGAAATCTCCCATTGACACATGGAATCACCGTATATTTTCCATGGGAAATCCATGGGAATCAGCACGGATCCTGGCAGGATGCCGCACGGACCGGTGGAGCGAACGGACTTGGTGAACTTGCTGAAGCCCTTCGCAACAGGACGGGGGGAGATGCTGAAGTGGACGTGAAGTATATGAAATGAAATGTATGCTATGTCCTTTATACTACATCAATATTATATTATATTATATATATAATTATATAGATAGATTATATATATATATATTTGACATAATATATATATATACACATCATTATTTGCATATATATATATGGAATAGAACGGGAATATCATGGGACTGTGTGAATGTAACATCCGACTTTGTGTCATCAAACATGGCTGGGAAATCGTGGAGAATCCCGGCTGCCATCCGACGCTATCATGACTGGGGATGGTTGAAATCCCAGAACTCGGATGATGTAATGGGGATGGTCTAGGAATAAGAATGTGAGCCACCAATAGGCGCAATGGATGGAGGACAATCCTAGGAATGGATACATATAAACATATACAGTATATATATATACATATTCATAAACATGTGCGTACAGTAAGACCTTCAAAAAACTGGGAAATGCCAGGCCAAATACAATACATACAATATACATACATAGAATGTTGGACCAAGCCAGTCAGTGCATATGAATCCTGGGACATTGCAAACTCAGCAGCCGAAATTAAATGATGCTTGCTGAATCCCAGTGGCGATGCTGTTGGGATGATCATGGTATGTTGGGGATCAGAAAAATAAACACCTGGAGTAGTTGTTATTAGGGGGTGTGATTTGGAAGATTAAGTAATTCTCTTGGAATAAAATTACCTTATGCCTTATTTCGAGTGATCCCCACGACCCATCATTCTTTCATAGTTTCTGTCATATTCATTGGACATGTATATATATATACATTGCATATGTATTCTGGCATTCTATTTGACATTCGATCTAACGTTCTTTCTAGTGTATAGTGTATACTCTGACATTCTATCTGATTTTCTTTCTGGCATTCTATCTGGCATCTATTCTGACATTCTTTCTGGCAGAAAGGGTGTTCAGGTCCAGGCGTGGCCCACTGCATCCGGAGCTTGCGATGTGGCTTGGATCCATGGTAGAGGAGTCGAGGAGAAGGAGTATGAAGAGAAGGAGGGAAGAAGGAAGAGAAAGGACCTGCACCTTTGTTAAAATCTAGCGACCCTCACCTGGCAGGTGGGGAAATATTCTATCGGGGGTATTATTTGGACTTTTTTTGTTAGCATTACAATTCTTATTAAACATAGCTTGTTCATGCTTACTACTATTATTATGCTTTATTTAGTATCAACAACGTTATTGCTCTGGAAGAAGGTAAGTTGGATGGAAGATCTTGGAAGAAAGGGTCGCCCAATTTCAGGTGCCCGGTCCACGCTGACAACAGCTCCGGCCACACTGCCGGGCGCGGTGCCAGCGCCGGCGTCAACGGCGGCGTCGACGGCGCCGGCGGCGAAGCCGGAGGGTGATGGCTTCAGTTTGGAGGAGCTGAAAACCATGAGTATCTGGGCGAAACAAAATCCAAGTGAAGTTGTTTTTAGGCATTTAATATATTTTAATATGAGATTTCGTTTGGACTGTTTACACTCTATATTGTCCGAAAAAAATGTTGTAGAATGTTATTGCTGATGATCATCATGTTTAGCTCAAAATGATCATCCAACCATGATCCAGGATGCTTGTTTTGCCAATGAAAACGAAAACTTGATGCGCCAGAATCATGCATTCAATAACACAAACAAGAAGTGAAGTTTTTGGGCATTTGATTTTTAATTGTTTTTGTGTATTGATTGATGATCAGTATCATTGTATCGACTTTTTCTATACGCGTATATAATGTATATATATATAATATGTAGTAAGTTTTTTTGGGGTTTTGATGGTTTTGATTCCCCAAATGACATCGACACAGTTTTCTGTTTTAACTTAGAAGGAGCAACGTCAGCAAGCCACCATGCATGTTGATCATGAGGATCTCGGCTAGCGGCTAGTTGCCGAATTTTAAGGCGTAATTCAACTCTTTTGGATTTTTGAGTGTTATATATATATGTTATAATTGTTATATATATATATATATGAGCTATATATACAATGATTGATGACGTTGTGTTTTTGATTTTTTCAGTATGATTAATATTGATAATTAAGATCTAGTGGGGATTGACATCTGTTTTTTTGGGCAGGAAGTAATCATGTTTTAGCCTCAAAAATGGGGATTGCTCACTATATGATTGATGACCATTATTAATGATTGTTTGATGATCATCATTATCAGCCATATGGATTATTGATGATTGTTTGGACCCAGAAAACACTTTAGCAGTGAAATTGTGGCAATTTATGGATCGAGGAAAAAGGGACCCTGACAGCCCTTTTTGGTGGTGAAATAGCTGGCATAGGTGAGGAACCCTACTTGCAGAATTTGACGGTTTTGAATCTCCAAGGACAAGGGAGGTAGTAGCAACAAGGATGGGGATGCTTTGAAGAAACACATTGGGGACATGTCACACATATATATATATTTCCCTATGTTTCTATTCGTGGGATTTTTTGGTATTTTTCCACTTGGCATGTTGCATCCCAGGCATGAAAATGCTCAAAACGTCTCTTGGCTGAGCTGGATTCGCCACCTTGCTGGCGTCAGGGTTGCACCATGGCATGGATTGGTGATAAATTGCATGATCTTGCAGGGAGATCCTTGAGATGTTTCAGACTGCCAATCCGTCACAGCTTCGAACATCCCGACGTCGATTTTTTGACATTTTTTTGACATAGGAATAGTGACCAGGGTAGTTGCGACGACCAGTGTTAAACATGCTGAAAAACCATTCGAACAACACATATCCATGAGTGGAACAATATGGAACATATTAAACATTGGTTTCCAAAGGTGAAACCATATCAAATTGATGTTTCACCGGAGGAAAATGTCAATATTTGCCAAGTCGTGACGTTGCATGACATTTTCGGTTGCTGGTTCAGGTGGCATCTCCGATGTAGGTGGAAGATCATATTCGGAATGTGCCTCGTGTTCTTTTTCGTATGTTGCAGTAATACTGTATTTACATTGTATTTACTATTATATAACATGGAATTATAACTGCGAAACAATATATATATATACATAATGATTTGGTGGATTTTCTCCAGATGCCGATAGAAACACCCAAAACCTGTATATAATTATATATATATATACTGTACATATGCTGGTTGGTGGTTTAGAACATGTTTTTTTTTCCATATATTGGGAATGTCATCATTCCAACTGACTTTCATATTTTTCAGAGCGGTAGGTCAACCACCAAGCAGCCATTGTATCATCATTCAATCCAATTACATAAATCCCTAATTTTGATGGTTGAATACCCATTACATCACCATGAATGCTTGATGGTTTCTCCAATTTATATATCCCATAGGATCCATGGTGCTGGTATATATGCTAACATGACTGGGGTATATTGATGGGATCCATGTTACCATATATAGCAGCAGCATGGATCCGTCATGGGTATACCATTGGGCCAAGTCCCTTGTGTGATGCCGAGGTTCTGTTTGCGACGCTCGGCTGAAAATTTCATCCCTGTTGACCTGACCACTTGGAGGATCATCCCGGGGATCGCAAAGAGTTAGAAACCCTGGTGAGTTGGGAAGTCCCCGAAATCAGTGGTGGTAATCCCATCTATAGATGGTTTATAACATCTTTTATCATCTTATAACATCTTATAACATCTTATAATATCTTATAACATCTTATAACATCTTATAACATCTTATAACATCTTATAACACCTTATAACATCTTATAACTATGGTTACTAACCATTTAAGAGTTGTGGGATGATCCTCCAAGTAATGCTTGTGGGGTGCGCCATTTGTTTTTTGGGGCGAATCATAAGGACGTCACGACGTTTTCCCTCACTGCATCTTACTACACTGTTGGTTAATAAGGGAAATGGAAATGATCCTCAATATAGTTTATAGCCTTAATGTGAACTATTATAACATATTATAACTCATCCAGATGTAGCCTTAATGTATCTTAATGTGATGGATTGTGATGGTATATGGTGGTTTCTTAAGTCATGGAGGATCCCAAAGTCACCATGGTGTGTTTCAATACAAAGTCATGGTCGTTCATGACGACTGGATGATAGCTGGGGGGTACCCCCATGACTTAGGAAACCTCCATATCTATCAACTTACGGATTCCTTGGTGGCTGTTGTTCAGAATTGTTTCAGCTAGATGTTCCATCAGAACTACCACTCATTTTCAGCAATCCATATATTTCTTACCGATCTTACCCTTCATTGAGGGTGACTGGTGTTTTTTTTGCTCGACATGGGGGCAGCTGAGGACATAAGGTGATGCCGCACGGACCGGTGGAAAAATGTGACCTGCAAAAGGCTCTGGAGCCTTTCGCGAGATGAGCGGAAAAGCGAAGACATATTTGGCGGCCGATTCCTGGGAGAGTCGTGGGAGATATGAATGGAAGATCTAACCGTTCGGCGGCGGGTCGTGATGACCTTTCAACTGATGGGTTAGATTCGATGTTTTTTTGGGTTTTGATATGAGCCAGGGATCATACCTATGGAGAATCACTCTTCGAAGAATAGATATCAGTAGGTGAATTGTGATAAATGTGGAGAATCATGGAACATCACCATTCTTAGTAGATAAGTAATCCACCAATTTTCCAATGATCTACAGTAATTAAATCAGTATTTATCGTATATGGACAATGGTTTCATATCCATTTTCATCCATTTTCATCCATTTTCATCCATTTTCCAGTTCCCAAAGTGCAAGAGTCATTTTTCCAGAGGCATCCATTCACAACTGAACAGACGAAAGAAATCTGATCTGCCAACGCGTAACCAGAAGGCGTCTCAGTTGGATTTCAGCGGTGTGGCACCTCAGCGTTTCCGGCCTGGGATTGGATGATCGAGGCTGGATGCTGGACAGGTATGGATATGTTTGGATATAGTTTAATTTCATATTATATTAATATATGATTTTATATATATATATATATATACACAGATACTTAGGTGTGTATATATATATATATGTATTATGATATATATATATATACACACACTGATTCTTAAGAATCATGAAAAAACTATTTCTGAGGAATTGAGAGGAATTCATTGGAGGGAAATTCAATGTGTGACATAAGAATTTCATGAACATCTGAAGGACCAGTTGGGCACGGGAACTTGTCTCAGCGACAATGACCATTATGTGGAGGAATGTCTCCACAGAATGTTACTCGGACCTTTTTAGATAGGCAGTTGCCCTTGTGTGGTTTTTGGTAAATACAGGCAGATGTGCTATATCTACTGTACATTTGTGTTGATTTGCTTTAGGAAATAATTCCCATGAAATTGCCATGTATTGGATCAAAGCCTGGTTTTTCAGATATGACAAACCAACTTAAAGCGAGAAATAACAGTCTACTTCCGTCAATGTATTGCTGGTTGGTGGTTTCAAACATCCGCTATTTTCCATAATATATGGGATGTCATCCTTCCCATTGACTTTCATATTTTTCAGAGGGGTAGGTCAACCGCCAACCAGAACGGCCCGGCACGGCGTCCGCATGGCATCCGTGGTCCACGGTGCGTTGATGTGGTGGCCACTCGCCCTGCTCGTTGCGCATGACGCGCATGCGTCGGTGTGGAATGATTGGTCCAGCCAACCAGAGGAGTGGGATCTCCAAGTTGTGGCCTGTGCATTGAAAAAACATGAGCTTGTAAACAATATGGAATCTGCTTGGTGGTTTGGAACAGGGCTGGATTATGACTTTCCATATATTGGGGTCCAGGGTCTCTCAAATTCTTATTTTTAAATACAGGCAAATTTGCACTATAACAGGCCGAGGGTCCCTCAAATTCTTAAGGCATTCTTAGTATTATATTGCAGGCATCTGCACAATTTGGAGCAAGATTAAACAAGGTAACGAGGTGGAATTGGCAGATTTGACTACTCATGCAAGTCATACCAGGGTTTTGGCCGCTCTGGGCTCTGTCGTGGCCGGAATCCTGCGTAGCTGTTCCGGCTATGCTGGTTTTTGGCCTTGGTTGCTTGCCACGGGGCCGTGGCGCCAGGAAAACGCAAAAACGCGCGTAGATCGACGATCTAAGAACCAGGACTAGGAGGATTACGGATTCCACCTAATTTCGAAGTCTCCAGTACAAGGGGTGACGTATAAGCAGTAATTTAAGAATTTGGCAGTCCGATTCCAGGGTCCCTCAAATTCTTAACGTGCTATGTGTTTGGTATAGCTGAAAATATATAGCCCATCTTGGAACCGAGCCCCTCAAATTCTTATACAGTGCATTCTTGTACAATACTCAAGCTGTAGTAACCCCAACTGAATAGTAATTAATTGTAAACAATATTGAATTTTTGGTGTTGCATAAGATGTTTACCTTGGAATTTCAGAGAAAGCCTCATGTATGTATGTATGTATATACATATATTACATCATATTACTGGATTACTATTACTACATAGAATATATGTATACATACACACGTGTACTGTATGTTATCATTTGTAATCACATATGTGAATCATGTGATCTGTATATATGTATATCTATATATACACATATGTAACTGGTTGGTGGTTTGGAGCATGAATTTTATGCCTTTCCATTCAGTTGGGAATGTCATCATCCCCACTGACTCATATTTTTCAGAGGGGTAGGTGGCCCCCACCAACCAGATATTTATATATAGATTATATTAACCATATATTAACCATTATATTAACCATATATTAACCAACAAGGTAAAGACATCCTGACTTCATGAACACCGCGGGACCTCGTCGTGGGGCCGCTTTTTTGGAGCACAGGACCCGACAGCCAAGTGCTTCGATAGCAGCGTGACCACTTGGAGCGAGAGTCAAAGGACCTATTGCTGTGAGGCCACCGGTGGGACCTCCCGGTCGACCTGGGTGGGATATTCTGGGGGTGTTTAACTGTTGATTTATTTTTGGAGTCAAAAAACAAAGATGATACATATGTCATCAATCATAGGGGTAAACATTTATAGAGAATTTATATAATATACATTTATCATAGGGGTAAAGTCGACAATCATGATGATTGTAAGGTAACTATAAAAAGCTGTTTGGCTCAGCCTGTAGGGGTTTCCCAGGAGCCAGGAGCCATTTTTTCATGGTTCCTTTGGAGCTCTGGCTGATCAGCAATTTCTGAGGATTGGCCAACTCAAACTGTTTGTTTTCCCTAATGCAGTTGACCAAAACCTCTCCAACCGGATAAAAAAAATCCAGGCAGATTACAAGGGGTAGCTTATGGTTTCACCATTTGCTCAAATCATTCTAGTAGTGTTTGATGTGTTTAAACTACCATGTTCGCATATGTATATATTGTAATGGTTTATTATGTTTTATGAAGTGATTATGTCACCATGTTCACTGCAATGACAGAAATTCTTGCGACATTTATGGGCCACATTTCCATACATTTCCCGCATCCGCCATGGCCTTCCCTTAGGTGGTGGGCCATGGCTGCCATTCTCAGCGCTCGTCGCTCAAGTCGCCCAACACTCCGAAGCGCCTGCCGCATGATGCGCTGGAGCGGATCCAACTGCCTCCTGTGACCGTGCCCGTGGGCCAGAGATTTGAAGTGAAACTCGGCGAAATTTGGAATGGAATGGGGTGGAGATATACTTTATAGGATTTTATAGGAACATATCGGAACTATCCGATATTTGGATATATTTGGAAATAGACCCTATGTGGGAATGTTGGCTATTTGGGAATGTTGGCAGGATAATTTGTTTTGGCCGGAAAAATATGTATCAAAAATCAAGCAGTAAACATGCAAGAGCCAGTCCAGAGCTATATAATTTCACCGCGTTTGCGCTGTGTTTTTTTTTGTTAATCTTCAAAATGGGGTTTATTCTTGGGCCATTTTGCTGTAGTTGGGGATTGCAACTGCGGAAGCTGGCTGAATATAAGGCTTTGTCTGTCAGACCATCATAGGTTGACAAACAATGCATGCTAGGGTTTGAGAAAGTTGGGATTCCAATAACTTCTCCCAGGATCGGACGAAATCATCAATGGTTCATGGCAATATTTGACTGAATAATCAACCCATTGATTCAATTTTATTCTGATATGTGCCAACTATGGAAATACATCATACGTATATGTATAGGTGATATGTATATACATATATATATATATACATAATACATATATATATATACATATTATGTATGAAATAAATATGCTATATATTTATATATACATATGAAATAAATATGCTACACACACATATATATGTATATACATATGAAATAGATATGCTACATATACACATATATATATATTTATACATATGAGTGCATATACATTATAATATATGTATATATATATGCATACCCCCCATGACATCCTCATTCTTTCCTGTTTTTCTCCACAGCTTCTCGTTCCCAGGCCCATCGGCTTCTTCTTGGGCGGCGATGTGATGGTCACCGTTGATGACAAACCGCAAAGTTGGCTCCACTTCGATGAAAGGCGATGCGATGGACAGATCATGGTATCCTATATAGCATTGACTATCCATGATTTGTTGTTCTTTCCATTGGATACCAAGTCCATGGTATCATAGTATATGTTGATCTTTCCATATATCATGGTATTGTATTGATATATGGACTATGGATATCTATTAATCAAAGGAAGTTGGGAAGCAATACTTCCGTGTTACGGACAAATACTTGAAATGATGAAGGGTGGTGCGCGATTGAGACTTGACCTTGATGAAGGGTGGTGTGAGACTTTACATGACATAACAATACATCACATTGAGACTTGACCTTGATGAAGGGTGGTGTGAGACTTTTCATGACATAACAATACATCACATTGAGACTTGACCTTGAGGAAGGGTGGTGTGAGACTTTACATGAAGGGTGGTGTGAGAGTACATGAAGGGTGACGAAGGGAAGTGGTGACGAAGGGAAGTGGTGACCAAGGGAAGTGGTGACGATGGGAAGTGGTGACGAAGGGAAGTGGTGACGAAGGGAAGTGGTGACGAAGGGAAGTGGTGACGAAGGGAAGTGGTGACGAAGGGAAGTGGTGCCGAAGGGAAGTGATGATGAAGGGGAATGGTGAGGAAGGGAGGTGGTGACGAAGGGAAGTGGTGACGAAGGGAAGTGGTGACGAAGGGAAGTGGTGACGAAGGGAAGTGGTGACGAAGGGAAGTGGTGACGAAGGGAAGTGGTGACGAGGGGAAGTGGTGACGAAGGGAAGTGGTGACGAAGGGAAGTGGTGAGGAAGGGAAGTGGTGACGAGGGGAAGTGGTGACGAACGGAAGTGTTGAGGAAGGGAAGTGGTGACGAAGGGAAGTGGTGACGAAGGGAAGTGGTGACGAGGGGAAGTGGTGACTTTGGG